AGTATTCTTCGCCAGCACCACAACTCAAAAGCATCAACTCTTCTTTGGTCTTCCTTATTTATTGTCCAGCTCTCACATGCATATGAGGTGATTGAAAATATCATGGCTTGTGTCAGGCACACCTTAGTCCTCAAGGAGACATCTTTGCTCTTTAGCACTTCAAAGAGGTCCTTTGCAGCCAACTTGCCCAGTGCTATATGTCATCTAATGTCCTAACTGCTGCTTCCATTGGTGTCAATTGTAGAACCAAGCAATGTGAATTCTTTGACAAGTTCAATCTTTTCATCATTTATTGTGATATTACTTATAGGTCCAGTTGTGAGGACTTTTGTTTTCTTTATATTGAGATGTAATCCATACTGCAGACTGTATTCTTCAAGCTTCATTAGTAAGTGCCTCAAGTCATCCTTACTTTCAGCAAGCAAAGTTGTGTTGTCAGCATATCACAGGTTGTTAACGATTCTTCCTCCAATCTTGATGCCATGTTTTTCCTCACAGAGTCCAGCTTCTCAGATTTTTAATTTGCTCAGCAAATAGACTGAATAAGTAGGGGCAAAGGATACAACCTGACACACTCCCTTCTTGATTTTAAACCATGCAGTGTCATGATATCCTTTGTTCCACGTCCTCTTCTGAATCCAGCTTGCACCTCTGGAAATTCTCTGTCAATATACTGCTGCAACCGTTTTTAAATATCTTCAGTAAGACCTTACTTGAGTGCAATATTAATGATATTGTTCAATAAGTTCCACATTCTGTGGTATCACCTTTCTTTGGAATGGGTACAAATATGGATCTGTTCCAGTCAGTTGGGCAGGTAGCTGTCTTCCAAATCTCTTAGCATAATCAAGTGAGTGCCTCCAGTGGGGCTAGTGTAAATTAAAAATGGGTTCACTGGAGAATTCTATCAAACATTTAAAGTAGAAATAATACAAATTCTATACATCTCTTCCAAAAAATTGAGTACAAGGAACACTTCCCAATCAATCATATAAAGCCAGAATTAGCATGATACCAAACCCATACAATAACCACCAAAATATAATACATATAATATTCCTCATAAACAAAGATTTCTCCATTTAACAAAATTTTAGGGAATCAAATCCAGCAATACATAAAAAGGATAATACTTCATGACCAATTCAGACATACATATTAGAAAATCAAATCAATAAACTCCATCATATTAATAGGCCAGAAAAAAGAAGAGCTGTATTTGAGAAAAGGTGGGAAGTACTGAACATAATTCAACACTTACTCATAATAAAAATGATTAGCATTCGAGATCCAAAGGAAAACTTCCTCAATCTTATAAAGGGCATCTACAAGGAGACCTGGTGGCACAATGGTTAAGTGCTCAGCTACAAACCAATTGGTTGACAATATGAACCCATCCAGTAGCTCCATGGGAAAAAGACCTGATGATATGTGTCCGTACAGATTACAGCCAAAAATCTTACATGACAATTCTACACTGTCACATAGGGTCACTATGAGTAAGAATCAACTCAAAG